TCTTTCTGGTGATTTGTTGAGTTCTGCGGTTAGGATTAAGGTGGGTTTTGGAGGACTAAAGTTTCTATAAAGTTCTTATCAGAACAATTTCTTATGCGGGAATTTTTCAATCATCGCATAGGGTAAGGAAATTCCCAAATCACCCCTCCACTGCCCATGTGCTCCTAACATGACGCCCCGCACCAAATTAAACGGGACGTTCTGATAGTATTCGTACTCGTTTTCAAGTAGTTGCACGATTTTCTTGGGTGGATGAGTAGTGATTAGTCGTGTAGTGAAGAACCTACAATGAAGAAGATAATAGAAGAGGTTTATGTTTTGGTTTGTGAGCGCGTGGATGGAATTAATCTAAGCTTAGTGAAGAGCTTATTAAAAAAAGAATTTAATACTCATGAAGAATTAATAGGACTGTTATCCAATGAATTTGAATGAATTACAGGCTTTTCGTTTCATTTTATTATATTTTTTGGTATGAGAACTAAAAGCCATTAATATAGCTTTATATTAGCATAAAAATATTCAAATTAAAATTAATTTAAAATATGAATTGCATTATTTAGAATAAAATAGCTTAAATAAAACATATTTTTGTTATGATGTTTTCAGTCGTCAAAGTGTAACCCATCAACAGCAATGGACAAATGTACTTCTATATGTAATGCCCCAATCAAATTGGCGGTCAAGACCAATGAGGATCCCGACGTAGCCGACTCACCGAGTCGTCATCCTTCTATGTCGACTCGAAAGGAGGTACCTGTTGATCCTATTGTCGAAGACGACTCGCCACAAGCCCACTCAACCAGTTATTCGATGCCTCACGAGGTCGACTCAAAAGGCGTTACTTCTCGGCCAAGCTAAATGATGACTTCAACCTCGAGCCTCTCCCACTGACAACACTTAGCATCTCATTTAATGCTTGGCAGACACCATCATACCTCTAGCCCCGATAATCTTCATGACTCATCGGGCCACGTCAGCACCGCTCCGCTCGTCGAGCGACATGTGTAAAGTAGGTGCTGACACAACCGCTAGCCCATACTTATTTACCGCCATACCGTGCTCGACCGAAATGACGATTCTACCCCTTATACCACCAGCATAAATAGAGGTACTACTCTCAATAAGAGGGGGGATCTTTGATTCTTTTTTAAGCAATTTCTGCTGCACTATACTAAAGAACTCATGCAATTCTTCATTTCCCCACTCAAGCTCATCAACTGACTTGATAGTCGGAGGAACCACAGAGGAACCAAGCCCCGTCCTCTTATGTGTTTCTACTTGTACAGATTGTTCAACAACCCCATCTTTTAAGCAATTTCTGCTGCACTATACTAAAGAACTCATGCAATTCTTCATTTCCCCACTCAAGCTCATCAACTGACTTGATAGTCGGAGGAACCACAGAGGAACCAAGCCCCGTCCTCTTATGTGTTTCTACTTGTACAGATTGTTCAACAACCCCATC